TATGTTTATCTCTCTCTCTCTCTAAAATGAAAAAAAAAGAAGGAAAGTAGGACACGTGCAGCGACCATACCGGATTCTGAAGTCGCTGGGGAGGAAGTACCCCATGAGGTAATCGTTTCTGGTCTTCACAATCTGCTTTTGAAGGTCTCTGGCAGATGTACTGTAGCCATTGAAAATAAAGTTGGCAAATAGTAATTTTCCCCGAATGTACATCTGTGAAAAGTTCATGAAACATTTTCAGAATCTGATCATAAAGAGTAGTCCTGCATATTCAAAGAAAGACGTTCGTGTGTGTCCTCATGAGACGTTCACATGTGTGCGCATACAGCAATTGTCCTACGTAGCCCTAGGAGCCAGTACATTGTCTGCAAACAAGGAAACAGGCTCAACAGTTCTCTCACAGCCGGGTGTGGTATTGCACACATGCAGTCCCAGGACTTGGGAGGTTGAGGCAGGAGGACTGTCGTGAGTTTGGGACCAGCCTGGGCTACATAAAGGCCAGCCTGCACTACATGGTGAGACCCTTCCTCAAAACTAAAAGAAACAAAAAAATTTTCTCACTCAGCAACAGAATCCATATCCCGATTAGTTCTGAAGATAACAGCATCTGTTCTTACTCACGATAAGCTGCCTACACGTATTTCATCTCACAGCTACCTGGAGGAAACAGGACAGCGCCTTCCACCTTGGAAGCCAGTAGACTTGAATTCTAAAAGTACGTCTCTAAAACCCACTGACTCTAATTATACTGAGACATTTATTCTTCAATAGGAAAACATCAATTAGGATTTGTGACAGGTGCTGTGGCACTGATCTGCAACCCCAGTACTCTGGGAGGCTGGGGCAGGAGAAATTCAAGTTCAAGCCCAGCCTGGGCAAATCAGCACACATGCAGTCCCAGGACTTGGGAGGTTGAGGCAGGTCTTCGTGAGACCCTGTCTCAAAGTACACAGGGCCGGAGGTGTGGCTCGGTGCAGAGGCCTGGGGTTCGAGGCCAGGGCCACAAGGAGGGAGGGAGCGGGGTGCATGCAGTAGACCGGGGGCTCGGTTCCAGGCAGTGAACACCTGGAGGCTGCTCAGCCTTAAGAAACTGGGAGGAGAAACAGCTGGTGCCTCCGCGCTTAGGACTGCAAGGACCAAGCCACGTTCCCCACGTCTTCCCAACCGGAAGGGACACAGGGACAGACTGTCCCGGGGTTTCCTCCAGGAGAAGGGATTCTCCCGTTACCTTCATTTCTGCCATAAAAGAGCCTGCCGCTTGCTTCTACCCCACTCGCACAGCCAGTGCTGGCTGAAATGAGCCCTGTGCGGTTCCTTGCCCTGAACCCCTCTGTCGGTGGCTTTATTCTTTAGCACCATACCCACTCATCTTGCTTGAACTTACAATATAAAGCTATGGTACATTTTTAAAAACCTTGCTGGAGGCTGGGGATTTAGCTCAGCAGCACAGCGCCTCGCTGGCAAGCGAAAGGTCGTGAGTTCAATTCCTGGTACCAGAGAAAAACAAAAAAAAACAAAAAACAATAAAAACCTTGCTGGGTGTTGTGTGTAGACTTGCATTCCCAGCACTCAGGAGGCTGATGCAGGAGCATCTCGCAGTGAGTTCAAGGCCAGCCTAGACTACACAGGCAGACACAGTCTGCAAAATATATATATTTAATAAATATTAACTGATTACTACAAAATGATATAAAGACAGTGTTTAGCCAGTGTTCTCCTCACTCTAATTGTGAAATGCTTGTATAACGGGAGAAAAATATAATTTTAAAAATTGATAGCTCAACAGGCTTCATGGAGCATGTCTACAATCCCAGCACTCAGGAGGCTGAGGCAGGAGGATCACTGCCAATTCAAGACCAGTCTGAGCTACAAAGTGAGTTCAAGGCCAGTTTGAACTGCATAGTAAAACCTTGTCTCAAAAAGATGAAAAAAAGGGGCTAGGGATTTAGCTCAGCAGCGCAGCGCCTGCCTGGCAAGCGCAAGGTCGTGAGTTTGATTCCCAGTACCGGTGGGGGTAGGGATTGAGAGCTGGGTGTGGTGGTGCATGCCTGTACATGCAGGGTTCGGTCCCTAGAACCAAAAAACAAAACAAAAACCCCTGTGTGATCTAATCCTGAGGATCTGATCATTTCAACAGCCAAGACCCTCAGGTACTATTTTCACTATAGGCTCTATGCTTTGAAGTAGTTTTTTGTTTTGAGACGGTCTCACTTTGTAGCCCAGGCTGGCCGTGATCCTCCTGCCTCAGCCTCCTGAGTGCTGGGGTTGCAGGTGTGTGCCACCATGACTAGCAAATTAATTTTATCCCCCCTCGTTTTTTTTAACTTGTTGGTAGAGCTGAGGTCAAACCCAGGGCTTCATGCACTTGAGGTAAGCACTCTACCCCTACATCCTCAGCCCAACTTCATTTTTCACAGTTTGAGACACAGTCTAAGTTGCCCAGGCTGGCCTTAAAGTTGCAGTCCTCCTGCCTCAGCCTTCTGAGTAGCAGAGATCACAGATGTGGCCACCAGGCCTGGCTCCTGATGTACTTTCTTCCAGTGAGCATCCAGCCTGATTAAAGAGAGCCTGGGGCAGAGCCCAGAGCGGCTTGAGTCTGTGGCTCAGGAAATGCAGGAGGAGGCTCCCGGGGAGTGGGGGTGAACAGAACAAAAAGAGCCCCAGGCAGCCCTTTAAAGGCTCCTAAAGCTGTCCTACCCCATCTAGGAACCCAGCCAGCTCCCTCCCCTCCAGTGTCACAGCCTCTGCCCATGTCACAGCCTCTGTCAGGGTCACAGCTCTGCATCACTTCCGGGGCACCCTGAGTCGGAAACTGCGCTTTGTGCTCATCTCCCCACGGGTCGGGGCAGAACAGACAGAGTAGTGTAGCGGTATGAGCTGGAAAACTTCCTTGATTTTGGTTTTTCTGAGGCAGGGTCTCACTACGTAGTCCAGGCTGGCCTTGAACTTGCTATGGTAGCCTAGGCAGGCATTATTGTGGTGATCCTCCTGCCTCAGCTTCCCTTGAGCTGGGATGACAGGTGTGTGCGCCACCCCCACTGCTCATTGTTTCTTGGGCCTCTAAGAGGTTAGCCAAGTGGGCCATCTACAATCTGGGCTCCTCTTTCAGAGGTCAGCACGGAGGAATACAGCCAGGCACTGCGGTTTCACACTGACCCAGCCCTGAATGCTGTACTCCCGGTACTGGGGATGGCCTCCTCCCCCGCCTCCTGTCTGTCCCAGCCCTGCTTTGGCCTGCTCAGGACCCACACTTCTCAGGGAGCCCCAGCCACAGCTCTGTGCCTCAGACTAGGAGCTCCTGAGCAGGAGGGCCTGTAGTTTGCTGACTGGCTAACTGATCAACCCTATCTTCACTCTCAATGCTGTGTTGGTATAAAATAGTCAACAAACAGTTGCAGAACTAGAAAACTGGAAGAGGAAGGCCCATTCTAGTGCCCACAATGTGCCAGGAGTAAAAAGAAGCCTGCACGCTATTATCTTGCTGGACTTTTTTCCCAGGACTAGGGATTGAACCCAGGGATGCAAAGCTATAGCCTTGGCCCTTTTTAAAATTTTATTCTGTGACAGGATCTTACCTGCTTCATCCTGCCTCAGCCTCCCAAGCAGCAGGGAGTACTTCCACCCTTGGCTATCCTGAACATTTACAGCTATTTTATGTTAGTTAGATTTCCTTCTTTTGTAAGGGAGGAAACAGGCTCAGAGAGGCTTAGTAATTCCCCAAAGGTCACACAGCAAGCAGGCAGTAAAACTAAGTTTGGACTTGGCTCTGTTTACAGAGTCATGCTTCCCCACCACACCAGGCTGTTGTGCCTAAGCTCTTACATCTTCATGGGCTTTAATGCACCCTCAGCTGCTCGCTAGCCTATACGGATACATTTTTTTTTTTAAGGTAAGCATTAACTTTTAATATTTACAGTCATCTCCATAATCAATTCTTGGAGTAGGTAATTAGCCACTTCAGCTTTCAGAGTATCAAATTTTGTCTTTGGTTGGTTTGTTTTGAGGGGTTTGGGGATTCTTTGTTTTGGATTTTGGAGACAGGGTCTCACTATGTAGTCTCACTGGCTGGCCTTGAGCTCACAGTGTAGCCCAGACTGGCTCTGAGTAGCATGCGGTGATCCTCCTGCCTCAGCTTCCCCAGTGCTGGAATTCCCGAAGTCCAATCTCCAGCTTTACTAGAGTAACAAAAACGTTAACCCTGCAGCTCAGACCAGCAGCGAGTGGACCTGGGCAGAATTCTGCCAAAAGCTGCATGAGGGTTGAGCCGCTCCGCATCCTCTCGCCTGCTCTGCGCCAGCCCCGGGTCTCGGGCCATACCCGTTAAAGGACTCGTCCAGTCCCGGCAGAATGCATACCAGGAAAATCCCAGGGACAATGTTGTGCCTCCGAACCAGAAGCGGACAGTCGCTGCCCGTCAGTTTAGATGTGGATGTGAGGTTGTATCTGAGCAATCGGAAGGCATCCAAATGGCTCTGAAAGAGAAAAAGAGTCCTAAGGATCTTCAAGTCCAGGCATGCCAGGTGTGGGGTGCATGCCTGCGCTCCCTGCAGTTGGGAGGCTGAGGCAGGACAACTGCAAGTTCAAGTCCAGCCTGGGCAATTTGGTGACCTTGTCTCAAGATAGTTAGCTAATTAAAAAACAAACCTAGACAATAAATCTTTTGCTCCATTCAGCAGGATTTGTGTCCTTGAACACAAAATTCTAACTCTGTCCCCAGTGCTTCAGAGATGCTCTCAGAGACTTGCCAAAGACCTCTGTGTTGCCAAAGCTGTGGAATTTTCATGTTTCTTACAAAATATATGTATTTTTTGTTTTGTTTTGAGACAGGGTCTTGCTATGTAGTTCAGACTGGCTTCCAACTCAGGGCAGTCCTCTTGCCTCAGCCTCCCGACATTATTGTGTTTAATTTTTCAGATAAGATCTTGCTGTGAAGTCCAGGCTGGCCTTAAAAGTCACCACATAGCCCAGGGTGGCCTGCAACTTGGGGTGATCTTCCTGCCTCAGCCTCCTGAGGGACAGGATTACAGGTGTACACCACCACACCAGGCCTTTGACAGTTCTCCTGTAGATTAAACATGGCTCTAAGTTATTTGCCACTGCAGCATCAAGAGTTGGGGCTCTGTCTCCACTGCCCTGGGATTAAGTCTGGCCAATGGCAGGCCTTGTCCAGTAGCACACTGCAAAATTTTTGAAGCCAGGTATTAAGAGAAACTACAGTTTCCATTTCACCTCTTGGGAGACTCCATCTTCAGTCAGACACTGTGTTGTGAGCAAACTCAAGCGACTATGTGAAAAGCCCTCCTCAGAACAGAGATCCTGCCCAAGGTGGTGGCGCACACCTGTAATCTCAGCATTCGCGAGGCTGAGACAGGAGGACCTCCTCAAATTCAAGACCAGCATGGGCTACATAGCGAGTTCAAGGCCAGGCTGCACTGCATAGTGAGGCCTTGTCTCCAAAACAAAAACAAAGCAACCACAAAATAGGACGCTACTCTTCTTCCAGTCGTCCAGATGAGAAGCTGGGAGAGAACTTAACTTCCTTATTCTGTGCAACCACAGGTAGAGCCTGTTGCTCCTCCAGGAGCCCGAGCTCTCGCGAGACCTTAACACGGGCCGAGCCTCTTTGTCCGACCTACCTGCTCCCACCCCCGCCGACCTGCACTCCCAGCAGGGGAGAATGTTCGCCCCTCCTGGCATCACACGCCGAGCTGGCACAGTCCCTGGCCCCGTCTGTCCCCAGCACCGCCTTGTCCTCCAGGACGAGGCTGAAGCTGACGAAAGCTCCAGTCCCTGTGCCCATTGCGCTCGGCAGTGCTGGGTGTTAAGTAGCACAGGCAACACTTGAAGCCACAGGGGCGCAGAGACCCCGGAGCAGAAGTCCCCAGACCGGAAGTCAACAGCCGGCATCCTCCAGTGGGGCGCGCTTCCGTTGCTCCTACCCGGCGGAGAGACAATCGACGGCCAAAGGACAGCCACCGAGTGGGAGGGAAGCCAGTGGACCTGCTGCGCTTCCAGCGGAGGATACCTAGAATACATCACGATCCCGAAACGTCCACTCCCTATACACAGATGAGCCCATCAAAACCTGGGCAAATGAATGGAATAGTCACTTCTCAAAAGAAGTAGGTGAAAGAAGTACATGAAAAGAAGGATATGGACGAAATACTCAACATCGGTAGCCATCAGGGAAATGCAAATCAAAACAACCCTTCAGACTCCATCTCACCCCAGTCAGAATGGCTGTCACCATCAAAAACACAAAGAGTAATGAATAATTGGCAGAAGGGGCCGCCTACATTGATGGTGGGAGAGCAAACTAGTATATCCACCAAGGGAATCAGTGTGGAGACTCTGCAAAAAAAAATAAAAATAGAAATTCTATTCAACCAGCTATACCTTTCTTGGGCACATTCCCAAAAGAATTAATGACATCACATTTTTATGATACATAACAGTGTCAGTGTTGATAGCAGCATAATTTATACTGGCTAAGCTCTGGGAACAGCCAAGATGCCTGTCAACAGATGGATGCATAAAGGAAATATGGTATACAGATGCAATGGAATATTACGCAGCCCCCAAGAAGAATAAAATCCTGCCACCTGCAGAAAAATGGGACTTGAAATCATCATGCTAAGCAAAATAAGCCAGACTCAAAAAGCTTAACTATCATATGCTTTGTCTTATAAGAGAAACCTGAAATTTAAATAAACTAATGACTATAGTAAGGAAGCAATGATAAAGTAGAAGAAAGGCTCTTAGAGACAGGAAGAGGACCAAGGGGTGTGAGACGGAGAGGAGGAGGGATTTCAAATGAGCAAGAGCTGCATGGCCAATCTGCCAAAAGCAGCACCACTATTCTGTAACATACACCTGCACTTATTAAAAAGAAAATAAGATAAAAAATTAAAAGAACCGGATGCAGCTCCATCCCAAAGGACCCCTGGGTTTGATCCCCTGTAACTGATCCCCCTCAGAAACAAAAAAACAGGCATGGGTCCTAGAACACCTGGCCTGGACCTCAGCCCACTACTTCCTAGCTGTGTGACCTGGGGCAAGTGACTCAGCTGTCCCATGTCTGTCACTGGCCTGTGCGCCATGGAATCATATCCCACACCAGCTGATCACGGTTCTTTTGAGGACTAAGTGTTGCTCTGTGCCAACAATGTCATGATACGATAAGTGCTCATTAAAAGTCTGCTGCCTTGATCTCCTTCCCTTGCACTTCTGATCAGTTCAGCAAGCATTTGCTGAGCTCCTCGGGTGCCGGGCAAGTGTGTGGTTTCCATAAATAAGACTTTTCCTCTACCCAAGATCTGGCTGTGTCAAGGTTGACCCAGCATTGCCTGGCGCCACCTGGTGGCACCAATACTGCTAGCAGCACTGCACTTAGCGGGTTCATGATTTCCATCTGGATGGAGCAAAGGGACCTGCAACAGCCCTGAGCCCTTAGAGGCTGAGAAGCGGAGGCCAACGCAGTCTGCTTGCGTGTGAGAGAACGCCCTGCAGTGCGCAGGAAATGCACTAGGGGGCAAGGGGAGGCCGGAGAAGGAAAACCTGCCGGAGTGGGTGGTGAGCAAACAGGGAGGCAACAAAGGCCAAGTCAGTAGAGCAGTGGGATGGAGCAGAAGGGACTTGGGGAAGAGCCGCAGGATCAAATCAGTGATTAGTGCAGCTGGGCGTGGTGGTGCACACCTGTAATGCTAGCACTCGGGAGGCTGAGGCAGGAGGATCGGCAGTTCGAGACCAGCCTGGGCTACAAAGTGAGCTCAAGGCCAGCCTGAACTGCATAGCATGACCCTGTCTCAAAAAGACAAAAAAAATAATTAGTGCAGAGCAGCACTTGGGAGGATGAGGCAGGAGGATTGTCATGAGGTCTAGGTCACTTTGGACTCTGTAGTGGGTTTAAGGCCAGCTTGAATGACATAGCAAGAACCTGTCTCAAAACAATAAAACAACCAACAAACTAGTGTGGTTACATGCATGGCTACCAAGGCTGGCTGGTAGTAGCTGCCTGGAATGCAATCAGAAAAAGGACTTTGGGGCCTGTCTAGGCTCAGATGAAAATAATAATGGATGGGGAATATCTGCTGTAGACATAGAATGGGAGACATTGGCACAGTACTGGCATTTGCCATTCCTAATCTCTGGCAGAAGAAGCATAAAAATGTTCTCTGGGAAGTTGAGGCAGGAGGATTCCAAGTTCCATGCCAAGCTGGGAAACTTAGCCACTTAGGGAGAGTCTGTCTCAAAATATATGGAAGGGTTGGGTGTTGGGGACCAGGCTGTGTAAGGGTTAAGTTACTGACCACTGAGGGGACCTCTGGCTGTGTTAAAAAAAAAAAAAAAAAGCTCATTTTAAACAGCATCTGAAGGTAAGGTAAGACTGACAGCTGTCACTCCCTATTCCAGAGCAATAAACTACAACCTTAGAGATCAAACAGTTTTCTTAATTAGCAAGATTTACTGCCTAGAATGTCTTTGATCTAACTTCACAAGGCCTGCTCATTTTCACTGGCTTTTGCCTCAGATGTGCTCTCCCCTTCCTCCACCCCTGAACTGTTGTCTATTTTTTTTTTTTTTCCAGTACCGGGGATCGAACTCACGCTTGCCAGGCAGGCACTTATGCTACTGAGCTATATCCCCGGCCCCTGCCCCCTGAACTGTTAAGGACCTAATAAATATGAGCAATCCAGAGAAGTCCTTGTCTTAGCTCCAAGAGAATTCTGGCTTCCTACGCTCCCCACAAACCATATTTGTATTGTCTTTATTTAATCCTTTTCCTTGTGCCCCTCTCTAAGATCTGGAGCCCCATCAGCTCCCGATAGCTGAGACACAGCTCAGTGCAAAGACCCTGGATTCAATCTCCAGTGCCTCACACAATCAAAAAAAATTACACGAAGATCTAGAACAGACAAGACTAGTTAATGGTGCCAACAGTTAGAGCAGCGATCCTGTGGGAGTGCGGAGTTGGGTTGGTTATTGGCTAAGAAGGGGTGAAAGAGCTTTATTTGGCCTGGAAATACTGTGTATCTTGGACTGGACAGTGATCACCCAGGTGCATGCATACATAAACAACTTGACACTATATTCCCACTTTACATGACTTTGCCCAGGTTGTGTTGCTTTAACAAAATACCCGATACTAGATAACGTCTCAAAAAGAATTAGCTATGTATGGTGTCACATGCCTATAATCCTGGCACTCTAGGAAGCTAAGGCAGGAGGATCACACATTTGAGTATAGCCTGGGTAACTTAGTAATCAGTGAGACCCTCTCTCAAAATAAAAAATAAAAAAGGGCTGGGGGTGCAGTTCAGCACAAAGACTCTGGGTTCAATCTCCAGCACAGCAGAAAAACAAAACCAAAAAACTCCGTCATGTTAGCCGGCTGTGGTGGCGCATGCCTGTAATCCCAGCTCTCGGGAGGCTGAGGCAGGAGGATCATCGTCAGTTCGAGACCAGCCTGGGCTACAAAGTGAGCTCAAGTCCAGCCTAAACTGCATAGCGAGACCCAGTCTCAAAAAGACAAACAAACAAACAAACAAAAACCCCGCCATGTATCTGGATCAGGTCCAGTACTGGGAAGTCTACACAGCATGGCGCTGCACCCAGCGACAGAGGCACATGGGGACGGCTGTACGGTGGCCTCGTGTCATGACGGTCATTTCCTCCAGGGCTGATCCAGTCAGCGCAACCTAGTCCTCCCCCAGAGACCCAAGTTAATCTCTTTCGGGCGAGGTGGTGACCCCACGACCTAACTGTCTCCCTCCCGACCGCACAGCATTTGCTCACCTTAGTTCCCACCCCATGAGGACTCAGCTTCCCACGTGTGAACTCTGGGGGACAAACCACACCAGAAGCCACGGATACTGCTGAGACTGTGACCTGCACTGCACGACCATGGCACCTCCATAAAGGAGCAGGCCAGAGCCCTTCCAGGACCCTCTGTACTGCAGAGGAAAGGTATTAAAAAGAAACATGCAAATAAACTTTATTTTACTTTACTTAGTTTTGTTTTTTGGTGACAGGGTCTCACTATGTATTTCAGGCAAGCCTTGAACTATGTAGCCCAGGCTGAGCTTGAACTCATGGCAATCTTCCTCCTGGCTCAGCCTCAAACTCATGGCAATATTCCTGCCTCGGCCTCCCCAGTTCTGGGTCCATCCACGCCTGCCCCTCAAGGGCGGACTTTCCCACAGCCCACCACCTGCGCACCCCACTCACCTGGATGCACGGCATGGTTCGAGCCCTGTTCAGCTCCCGGTACACCTGGGCCAGTTCTCTCACGGTCCGTTCCTTGTCCGTGGCGGAGGACACATAAACGACGACGGTCTGCTCTGAGGAGCACAGCTGCTCCAGGATGAGGCGGTCGTACTCCAGGTCCGTCACCTCCGGAATGTGGTGGGCGCTGCACCTGCAGATGTCCCCTTGCTGCCCCTGCAGCGTCCTCCTCAGGACCACGGGACAGAGCAGCTGGGACACGAATAACACAGCCCTGCTTTCCAGGGGAAGAGGCCTAGGGACACAGAGGGCAGAGGTCACCTCACCGCTGTCACCCTGAGGACCAGCTTTCCCAGGTCGAGGCTGGTGTGGGCGACACTCACTGAATTCTCCCACAGCTGGGCAAGCTGAGGCTACACCCTTCCAGCCAGGAAAACTGACATTCTGGAAATTCAGTGACCTGACCCCAAACACACAAGCAGTAAATAGCAGATCTGGAATCCGAGCCCATGCGTATTTTTTTCTTATCATAACACTGCCACCTCAGTGGCAATTGTCCTGCCTCAGCCTCCCAATGCTAGGATTACAGGTGTGCAACATCACCCCTGCCTGGCACCATAATATTCTGTATAAAATAGTACACTGTGTTGCACAGAGACTGCTTTTCTCAGTTCCCATGTTTATCGGTAGAATCACAAGTGTCTTGTTCTCTGACGTTTGTGGCATGCTTCCCTGCTCGGCTGGATGGTTCTGTACACGGAGGGATTTTTTTTTTTTTTTCTTTTTTGAGACAGGGTCTCACTGTGTAGCCCAGGTTGGCTTTGAACTCATGGCCATCCTCTTGCCTCAGCCACCTGAGTGCTGGGATCACACTCATGCACCACCTTACCTGGCTACAGAGGGATTTTTACAGTTGCTATGGTAGTTCAGTACCATGCACGGTGACTGTGAATTATCACAAGACGCTCGTGCCTGAAAGACGACGCTGGAGCTAGAATGCGTGGTCGCACTCACTCAGAGCTCTGGGTTTGTCCGCTGATCCGGAGCTCAATCTTCATGCGCTCGGCACCTGTTTATGGCGTGCAGAGTCTCAAGACCTCTCCATATTGCTGACGCTCAGGATTTTCGTGTGTGTTAACCTCCGAGTGTGAAGAGCTCCTGAACTCCGTGAACACGCGGATTATAAACTCCAGATGGACACACTGACTGCACGGCTCAGCGCAGTTCAATCAATGCCCATTTTCAGGTCTGCATCCACAAGTTTTCTGTTTCTTTTCCCACACTGGGGATCAAACCCAGGGCCTTACCCATGCTAGGCAAGTGCTCTACCACTGACCTACACCCCAGTCCCTATTGGCAATTTTAACTTCAAAAGTTCATCATGGAGCCAGGTGTGGTGGTGCACGCCTGTAATCCCAGCACTCAGGAGGCTGAGGCAGGAGGATTGCTGCAAGTTGGAGGCCAGCCTGAACTATTTAGCAAGACCCTGTCTTTAAATTAATACATTTTTAAAAATTAATAAATTAATTAATAAATTTTAAAACCAGTTTAGTTGTGTGAAATGCTTATGTTTTCACTTCCTAATTTTGATCATCTGGACAAACATTTTAGAACTGCTTTGCACAATGCCTGCCTGCTTCCGGAGAAGTGAAAGCATTCGTTTAATTTGGGTGTCGTGCACACTTCCGGCCCTCCCTGACCTTGCCCCAGCCCTGCTGTGGGGACAGAGCTTGACGTGACTGCAGCCACCTTGGTCATATCCCCCACTGGGCAGCCCTGGCAAGTGCTCCAACCCCCACAGGGTAATCACAGTCACAAAGCCAGTCAACCAAGTGTTTCCGGCCCCTTGCTGACCTCTGGATTTTGTTGTGGTTCTTGTTCTTGTTTTGCTGTCCTGGGGATTGAACACAGGGTCTTCACACAGAGCTGCATCCCCGGGCCTTTACAAACATCTTGAAACAGTGTCTCCCTAAACTCCCCAGCTGAGTTCAAATTTCCATCCTCCTGCCTCAGCTTCCCAGAGTGCTGGGATTACAGGTGTGCACCACCACACCTGGCTCTGGGCTGTTCTTCCATTTACTCTTGATGTGTTGATAGTTTGCAAGAGAGCCAGGTGGCCCCTTCCTTCTGCCGCAGGGCATGGGGAGCCTCCTGTGGCTGCTGCCAGAGCTGCGTTTTGGTCCTGGGGTGCCAATAAACCGCCTCTCCCCTCGGTGCCTTGAGTCCTGCCTTTGGGTTTGGACCGCACCCACCCTGAGCTCCAGGGACACCCCTGCTCAGTGGGCTCCGAAGCCCCACCCTGGCCTGCAGACGTGGGAGCAGCTGGGGGCTGGAGCTCCTCTCCTCACCTCAGGAAGCTGCTGCCCAGAAAGAAACCTGCGCCCCCCCCACCCCCCGAAACACTGCTAGCCGAGGGTGGGGGAGCGAGGCTCTGTCTCCTGAGGTGGCGGCAGTGTCCCTGTTCCCCCAGACACGCAAAAAGCCAGGGTGCCTGGCCTCAGGATTGGTAGGGAAAGGAGAACCGTTTGTTTGTGGCGCTCACGTGCTGCCCCCAACCCCAGAGTCAGGCGTCTTCAGTGCAGGGCTAAGTTTTGGACATTTGGCCACTAAGGAGATCAGAACAAACCAAACAGCATGGAGGCCCAAGCCTGTAATCTCAGCACTGGAGAGGCTGAGGCAGGAGGATCTCTATGAGCTCGAGGCCAGCCTGAGCTACACAGCAAGAAAAGTCTAAATAAAAAAACAACAAGCAAAACAACCCAACCAGGCCTTGATTCCTGGAGGCGGGGTAGGAAGCAGCCAGGACAGTGTGCAAAACTGGAATCCCGGGGCCATCTATCCCCCATGGGGTGACTCTGCCTCCCGGAGCCACGCAGGCCCCGGCCGAGCCCGGCCCCTGCAGAGGAAGCTGGTGGGGAGAAGGGGACCGGCAGGCGCGTGGGCCGCAGAGCGCTGGACGCGCCGGGTGCCGGGTCAGACGGCCGTTCTGATACCGGGGGCAGCGCGGCACAGCCATGGCCAGCATCCTGGTCCTGGTCCTGGTCCTCGGAAGGCGGCGCGGCCTCGGTGCGCCAGAGGAGTCGCAGAGTGGCTCGGTCTCCAGTGCCCCGCGTCCCACCCAGGCGTCCTGGTTCCAAGGCGCCCGCTGCTTCCTGACCGGCCTGGGGGGCAGCGGCAGCGCGTCCGTTCCTGCAGGGCGACAGCACAGGCCTCTGAGCGCTCCCCCTCTGCAGGGGAGCGGCCGCCATGGGAAATCCCGGTGTGGAGAGTCCAGCAACTAAAACTGGGGCCTGCAGTGCCTCTGCTTGGAGGCAGCCTGCGGGTCCATTAGCAGATGAACGGGGGAAGAAAAGCAAGCATCTACACACAGTGGAGTATTACTCTGCCATAAAGAAGGATAAGCTTGGGACATTTGTAGGGAAATGGATGCACCTCCAGACCACAATGTTAAGTGAAGCACATCAGACACACAAGCTTAAATAGCATACGGTATAGGAGACACCCGAAGTATAAATAAATTAAAGAGCAAAATAAAAGATAAAATGACAAGCCGGCAGGGTGGCACAGGCCTGTAATCCCAGCACTCAGAGGCTGAGGCTGGAGGATCGTTGCAAGTTCGAGACCAGCCTGGGCTACAAAGTGAGCTCAAGGCCAGCCTGAACTGCATGGTGAGACCCTGTCTCAGAAAGACAAAAAAAAAAAGCCATAAAAAAAAAAAAACCACCAACCAAAACTGATATACCCCACAGAACTATCTTTTAAATTTGATGGAGAAATAAGATACTTCTATGAAAAAGAACACAAAAAAAAAAAAAAAAAAAAAACCACCAACCCAGAAAACAGGGAAGTGGACCTTTTGCAGAAGGGAACAGGATCTAGACACTGGGAGGGAGGGCAGGGAAGAGGAGAGGAAGAAGACCGAGGTGCCTCTGTGCAGTACTGACTCCCTGCGGATGTAAGCCTTACGCACGGCAAGCACGCTCCTACGGAGACGGACAAACGGCTTCCGTCCTGCTGAGTTCTTTTACTCACCGCACCTCTTGGTCTGCTCGGGGACCCGTAGCGATCACGTGACAAGCCACGGACACTTCCGGGCTCCAGCGCTTCTACCCCGTGGCATTTTTGCGTTTACCTGGTGGCAGCTGCTGCGCTAAGCACGCTCTGCACTCGACCCGCGGCCTAGCACCCCGCGCGGTGAGGACAGTTGGTCCTGTCTGTGCAAGGCGGGGCTCACAGACCCTGGGTCAAAGCCCTGGGGATTCCGCTGGTGCCCCCGTCCCCTGAGCAGCGCAGGCTGTGTGCCGGCCCCGCGTCCCCCGGGGCGGCCGGGCGCGCAGAGGACGCTGCGGGCCGCGTGCGAGCGCAACGCCGTCGACACGAGGCAGCGGCGACCTCGGATGTGCTCCTACGGTCGCGCCACACCCCGGGGGACACCCGTCCCCATGCTTTGTGGTGTCCCAAGCCCACACCGACAGGGCCGGGGCGTCCCTGTTCCCGTCGGACAAGGTGAGGCGTCCAGAGCCGCGCGTGGCGGCGCAGCCTCGGATCCCGGCACTCAGGAGGCTGAGGCAGGAGGATCAAGGCCGGCCTGGGCTAGGTAGTGAGTCCAAGGCCAGCGTGAACTGCAGCGTGAGCCCCCGTCTCAAAAAAACAAAACAAACAGAAAACAACCAGGACTGTGCGTGCAGAGGGGCTTCCGCTCACAAGCGGGGCGGGGAGGCCGCACTGACCCAGCGCGCGGCGGTAGCGGTTCTGCCAGCCGAGCAGCAGGCGCCTGGCCCTGCTCTGCAGCGCGCGGAGCTTCTCCGTGGTCCCCGCGTCGCGCAGCGGGCTGCCGTCCGCGTCCCCCGGCTCCGCCGCACCTGCGGGCTTCAGAGGAGCGAGGCTGGGGCGGCGTGCGGGGACCCCGCGCATGCGCTCCCAGGCGGGAGCGGGAGCCCCCGGCCTCTGGGTCCCGGTCCCCGGAGAGCTGGGCGGTCAGCAATTACAACACAGGGCCAGAGCCGCGCCAGGCGCTACTTTGAAACCTTGAGCATCAATCACGGGTGGATGGCTGACACAGGAAACGACTTTTCCTGCCAGACATTCCTGTGACCCGCTTTCTCTGCGCCCGACAGGAAAGGCAAGCCGAGGTATTTATTTACCAGACACTAGACTAGACAGCTGTTTGCAGAGACTTTCTCCTGAATGTTCTTAGCTACTTTATTCATAATATCTCCAAGCTGGAGCGATCCAGGTGTCCGTCAGCCGGTGAATGGGTAAGCAAAGGACCAAACATCCCATGCAATGTCACTCATTAAAAAAAGGAGCAAGCACTTGGGACACAAAAACAGGTGGATTTCAAAACCATTAAACTAAGCTGGGTGTGATGGCGCATACTTATAATCCCAGCACTCGGGAGGCTGAGGCAGGAGGATCGACGTGAGTTCGAGGCCAGCCTGGGCTACAAAGTGAGACCCGGTCTCAAGATAAAAACGAACAAAAGCATTAAGCTAAGCAAAAGAAGCTGAGCACAAAAAAGTCCACACGCTCAGCCGGGTGTGGTAGCGCACACCTGTAGTCACGGACCTGGCGCTCTCTTCCTGTTCTTCCTGGCTTCTGCACAACTTTGCCTGGATCCTCTGGAACACACCAGAGTTGTGCAAATCAGACCTCACAGCGAGCCGGGCGTCCAGCTGTGCGCGTGTTTACATGTCAACATGCAAACGCTGACATCGTTATGTAACATGATTAGCAGAGATCACTAACTCAACACTCCTAGCCACACCCGCCATGCCAAGCTCATACACAATGTGCTGTGAAGAGTTCACAGCTCCGACTCACTGTAATGCTGCGTTTTACAGTCTAATGTTGTCACCTTGTATTTTTTTGAAATTTTCTGCTACTCACTAGAAGTAACATTCTAAACATCAAACTTTCTGTTTATGTTCTGGTAACATGCTGACATCTGTGTGGGGGGGGGGAGCCTGTGTGTTACTGAGAACTGAAGCCAGGGCCTTTGCACTGAGCTACAGTCCCAGCTCTGTTTTATTTTTTATTTTGAGACAAGGTTTTACCCAGGCTGGGTGTGAACTTGTGACCCTCCTGCCTCAGCCTCACAGGCGTGCGCCACCATGCCTGGCAAGTATTTTTCTCTGATGTGGTTTCTCTAAGGTTACCCACGGTGTTTCACCTCTGTGAGTCCCGGAAACATTTCAAAAGGATCTTACCACTGTGTTCTGAGCGGTGAGTCCCAGCCGCCAGCGTGTCTGGCAGTCTCCAAGCGAGTCCCTGGCTCCCTCGGCAGCGGCAGCCAGGTTGACCGCAGGGAGTGGCTAGGAGAGAGAGCCTCTTTCAGGAGTTGGCAGCTGCCAGGAGGGCGCTAGGACCAAACACTAAACCGCACCGTTTCCAAAGGACCGCAATAGCCCCAAAGAGCACAAATCAAGATCTGCTCTGTATGTTTACATACTTTCTGCAGGACGTGTTTCACAGTCACACAAATTCACTCAGTCTTTTAAACATTTTTAAAGTTGGATCAAAATCAACCCCTCTAGCTCCTCAACTATTGAGAGATACTAATGGCTAGTGTCTCCTCTCTCTCTGTCTCTGTCTCTCTGTCCCTGTCGGTCTGTTTCTTTTTTTGAGATAAGGTCCCGTTATGTAGTTCAGTTCAGGCTGGCCTTAAATTCACTGTGTAGCCCAGCCTGTCCTCAACCTAGAGGCGACCCTCCTACCTCAGCCTCCCGAACACTGGGATTATAGGCATAGGCCGCCATGCCCGGCTTTAGTGTCAAATCTCTTGACACGAGCAAGGGCTTAGCCTAAAATGCCTCACCAGACACTCAGCGCAAGTGGAAAATGATTATTTGGGGACATTACTCTGCGCCACAGTCTACACAATGTTCTACCATCTCTTGAGTATTATGCCTTGAAAAAAGTAACTTTAGGGTGATTTAATTTCGCCTGACTTAAAAACAGTATATATGTTCTGTGATATTTAAAAGATCTTAAAAATTCAAACAGTCTAACCAGTTAGGACCCAGAGGAAATGAATTCTCCGGAGCTCCAGACCCCAGGCCTGAAGGAAACGGTTTGCCTCCCGTGCGCCACCCCCAACCGCCTTGGCTTCTTTCCAGAGACTTCAGAGGTGAGGTGAGAAACAGCCCTGGCAGGATTTTTTTAACTAGGCAAGATTCCAGCATCCTCAGTGCAGGAGTCACCAGGTGACACTAAGATTTAAGGCTCTGCCAGGGCGCACACCTGTGATCCCAGCACCCAGGAGGCTGAGGCAGGAGGATTGCTGTGAGTTCAAGGTGAGACTTGAACTCATCTGGGGACTGAACTACATCTGGGGACCCCGTCTGAGAAAAACCAAATTGACCAATCAATAATAAACAATAAAAATACATGAAAGTCAAGGCTGTAAGATTGGTCAGCCCTGTCCTGCTCAGGACCAGGTAGTAGCAAGAGAGAACGAAGATGCTAGACCTACCGCGCCAGGCAGACCCAGAGCCCCAGGCTTGCATTTTTGGGGTGCCAGTGCCAGCTTCAGGCTTTGGGGATCGCATCTGTAGACCAAGGTGATGGCAAAGCGCCCCGAAATCTTCACCGTGATGAAGCTGTTCACCTGGGGGACACAGAGGAGGGCGTCTGAGCACGAGGTCCCCATTCCCAAGTCACCTGAGAGGGCATCTGGGAGCACACGGGCAGCTTGGGTCTCACCGAAGGTCACTCAGCCGGGAGCACGGTGGCTTCGGCGCTGCTGTGCCATGGAGGGCGGGAGGTTACTGTACGTCCCACTGCACTGCTGGGGGTGTCCCCAGCCCTTGTAAAAATCTTGGGACAGGCTGGCCTCAAACAAGTTCCTCCTGCCTCAGCCTCCCGAGGCTCGGGTTACAGGTGTGCGCCACCACACCCCGCTGCCCAGATCCATTTTAGAGGGAGAGAGCGCTGGGTCACTCAGCATGACAGCCCTAACCCCGGCCCTGAGACCCAGCTGGCAAGGTCAGGTGGTCTGGGTGCTGTGCAAAGTCACGACTGGCTTCGCAGCATTGATGTCACTCCGACGCTCCCTGGGGCCGGGGAGGGGCTCAAACTGACGAGTGTGGGAAAGTAACAATAAATGATTTTTTTTTTTTTTTTTGGAGACAAGGTCTCACTGTGTAGCCCAGGCTGGCCTCAAACTCGCAGTTACAGGCATGCAGCAAATGACTTTTGAAACTTAAGTGAACATCTGCAGATTTGTAAAGCTTATTTACAAAGCGTCAAGAAAAAAAAAAATGGGCTGGGGATTTAGATACAAAGTGTCCTGTGGGTAAAGCATTGTAGTTAAACCAGCTGGTCTGAGTCCACTACTCTTATTTTATTTATTTATTTATTTATTGGTACCGGAAATCGAACTCAGGACCTTGAGCTTGCCAGGCAAGCGCATCCCTGACCCCCACTACTGTCATTTTAGGAATGAACTGCTTCTGAAGGCTACAGCTGAGCTCATGCACGGAGTCATCGACGTTATTTCGGTTCCTGATGCTTTTTAAAGGGTGAGGAAACCCAAATTCCAGAGCATCAAGAACTTTGCACATGGACTCTTGCCTGGTACAGTCTCTTAGAGCCTGACTTCCCTAGCCTTCCAGAGCCAAGTGGTGCTGCTTTAAAAATGACCACCTAGGGCCGGGGATGTAGCTCAGCAGCACAAGCGCCTGCCTGGCAAGCACAGGGTTCTGAGTTTGACTCCCAGTACCAAAAAACAAAACAAAACAAAAAAATGACCACCTAAAGCCAGCATGCCGATGCAAACCTATAACCCAGCACTTGAGGCTGAAGCAGGAGAATCCCTGTGAGCCCCAGGCCATCCTGAGTTACACGTGGAGTACCATACCAGCCTTAACTACATAGTGAGAATTTGTCTCAAAAACAGTAAAAAGAAATCAAAAAAATTTTTTTCATTAAATAAAAATTTAAACTGGGTGTGGTGGTACATGCCTATAATCCCAGCACTCCTCCGGAGGCTGAGGCAGGAGGATTGCTTTGAGTTTGAGGCCAGCCTGGACTATGTAGTGAGTTTAAAACCAGCCTGAATTACAGAGGGAGACCCTGTGTCAAAAAGAAAAAAAAATTAAAAATGACTTTAATTCTACAGTCTAAGAAAATAAAAATAAATAAAATGACTATCTAAAATGTATATGTGAGGCAGTCAGCCACCACTGATAAATTTGTAAATCATATAGAAAGGGCGAGCTGAGTATGGTGGTGCATGCCTATGATTCCAGCACTCACGAGGCTGAGGCAGGAGGATTGCCTCCAGTTCAAGGCCAGCCTGGGCTACATAGTGAGTTCAAAACCAGGCTGAATGACATAGTAAGACCCTGTCACCAAAAAAAAAAAAGGCATTTCGTGCCTACTATAAATATATAGTTTTTTGTTGTTTCTTTTTTTGTGGTTTTTTTGGCCTCAAATTCACAGTGATCCTCCTGCCTCCGGTGTTGGGGTTTCAGGCATGCGCCACCATGCCTGGGGAACTGCTTTTCTAATAATAATTTTAAAGTTGCTGTTGCTTAGTAAGCATAAATCCATTAAGGCAGCACCACATACACTTTGCCAAGTGAGATGAAGGCCAGCCTAACAAGTCTCAATGCACCGGCTATGCAGACAAGCAGACTGAGTGATTCAGTCCTCCACATCCACTTTTCCCATAAAGCCCAAAGCAATTATATTTTATACATTTTAGAAGCTCAAGGTGTATTTTAGAAAAGCAGAATGAATCGTCCCGACGAGCAGAGACCACGGACGAGAAGGTGCGGAGCATTACCCCAACTTCGATGGGGTCCTTGAGTTTCCCCTTCTCGGGCCACATCCACTCCCTGAGGACGCGTCCGCTCCTGCTCATCACCAGGCCTCCGTCTGGGTTAAACATCATCGAGAAGATCTGCCTGTGGCAAAGACAGCAAGGAAGCCGGGTGTGGGGGAGCACGGCTGGAGTGCCCGCACCAGGGAGGCTGAGGCAGGAAGATCTTGCATTAGAGGCCAGCCTGAACTACATAGCGAGAGCCTGGCTCAAAAAACAAATATAAAGTTTTTAAAGTTTGTTAAATTGCGTTGAGAACGTGGCTTGCATTGAAAAAATAGAAACACATATATATTGGAGCATTATTCTTTACTTTTTTTGTGTGTTTTTTTTCCAGTACAGGGAATCGAACTCATGACCTCACACTTGCCAGGCAGGCACTGTGCTGCTGAGCTAAATCCCCAGCCCCTTATTGGAGCATTATTCAATGCAAGACACTGTTCATGCACAGCACAGATACCTAGAGGAAGGCGCTCTCCACACTCAGGAAATTCTCAGTCTTAAAATAATAATTACTAGCCGGATGGGGTGCGCAAGCCCGTAATCCCAATACTCTGAGAGGCTGAGGTAGGAGAATCACAAGTTCAAGCCCAGGCTGGGCACCTTTGCAAGACCCTCAAAATAAAAAGGGAGGGGGTTGGGCAGGAGGGGACAGGGTCTCAAACAACTGAAAAAAGAAAACAAAAACCGAAAAACCTAGCCGTGAGGCCTCCCAGACTGCTAAGGGCCAAGTCCAACCGCTCGTGGGAAGTGGAGCGCGGCGGGTCTGCTCCAGGAAGCAGGTTCTGTCCCGCTGGCCCCCGGCGCCCCAGACACAGAGGGGCCGCGTTTCCTAATCGCTTCGCACCGGCTGGGACGAGATTTCCGAGCGATTCCGGCCTGCGATTCTGCGCACCAAGGCAGGCGGGCGGCGCCTGGGAACCCTCTCCGCTGCGGTTTTGCCAAGTGGCGGGGACCGGTGTGGGTCCCAAGGGCAGGCGGGCGGGCGGGGAACCAAGAGACTCCGTAAGAAAAAGCCGTGCCTGCTCCCTGGATGACCGGTCTCACTCCCGGCACCCCAGGCCAGGCGAAGTCAGACACCGCGGGGGCCAGACAGGGCCGCCCGGAGGCCCCCTTTCAGCCGGTCCGGAGCGGGGCGAGTCCGCGGGGCTTGGCTCACCCAGGGGCTGCCCAGGAATCCGCCAGGGTGTCTGCGGGGCAGGGCGGCGGGCGCCTGTGACCCCAGCACTCGGGAGCCTGAGTGTCGCCAACATGGGCCACACGGCAAGACCCAGTCTCAAAACAACACAAAACCGAAGGAGACCGTGATGAACGCCGTCCCTTCCCAAATTCGTGGCCCCTGAACTTTAGCAGGTGACCCTATTTGGCAAGCGGGGTCTGAGCAGATGGGATTAGCTCAGGCTCTGCCGACGGATTTACCCGAGGTGGACGCCAAACCCAAGGACCCACGTCCTTTAAGAGAAGAGAGGTCGCGAAGGGACAGGGAGGCAGCCCCGGGGGACAGAGGCTCGGGGGACCGGAGCCAGGCGCCTGCGCTCGGGCTGTGGGCATCGCGACCGCTTTGCCCTAGACTGCCAGCTGCAGGGGCCCCTGGCCACGTTCAGCTCCGCCCCTCCCTGTTCCCTCCCGAGCCGCTCTGGTGAGGCTGGGCCTGGGGTGGCGGTGGGCGCAGTGAGAAGCAGGGGGAAGTGGGGTCCGGCCTTACACCCCCGGGGGTGCTGGGGTGAAGGTCAAGGTCAAGCTCAGGATGAACCAAGCCAAGGTCAGAGGGCCTGCGGTGCAGAGCTGGCTCCAGCCGTGTGCTGGGAAGTCAGCCCCGGAGAGGCCCTGAGCCCCGGAAACTGTGAACGGGCAAGGACCGGCTCCCCAAGGGGAGGACTGGGGAGGGGTCAGGATGACCTGGGGCACAGTGTCCTCACACGGTCCTTAGGAAAGGGGTAGGAGAAGCCAGGCATGGTAATCCCAGTACTCCGGAAGCTGAGGCAGGAGGATCCCTCGGTGTGACTGGACAAAAAGGGAGGAGAGGCCGGGCGGGGCCCAGCAGTGGGCGTATCCAGGCTGGGCAGGACAGAGGGACACAGGCTGCAGCAGGGGCTCAGAGCCAGTCCGTCCCAGGGCGCTGTCCCTGCACCTGGCGCTCAGACGACCCCCTCACCCCCGCTTGTCCATGAGCAGCCCTGGGAGGAAGACGGTGGCTTTGGTGGCTCTCCCTGGCGGTAGCCTGGGACGTGTGCGGGGACCACAGAGCCCGGGGGTGCGGGGCGGCGGCAGGTCCCTCCCCGCCCAGGACTTGGCAGGGCCAGTGTCCACGTCTGACTCCAGGTGAGATCAAGCACCTGTGTTATGGACAGGCATGTGTATCGACCTTTTCAGGAGCTGCCTTGCCAAGCTGAGACTTGGTCTGGACGTGGAGACTGTGGAATTGTACCCTGCTTTTGTTTTGTTTTGGTTTTGGCACTAGGGATTGAACCCACAACCTTTGCACTGAGCAGTGCCAGCAGCCCTTGTTTTTTTTTTTTAAACAATGTCTCCTAAGCTGACCAGTCTGGCTTCCCATCCATCCTCCTGCCTCAGCCTCCCAGAGAGCCAGGATCACAGGCCTGCACTGTCCTGCCTGGCTCTGCTTCATTTTCCTCTGCAGCACCTTTCTCCAGCGGGTGTGGTCTTGTGTCCACTGTGTGCTCTTCTCCCTCCACTAACACGTAAGCTGCAGGAGGGCAGAGGCTTTGCTTTGTACTCGACTTCCAGCCTGGTGCTTACAGCGCCCACACAAAGATCTGGAGCGAGGAGCACGAATATTGTTTCCAGATATCTTTTTTAAACAGGGCCTCACTATGTAGTCCAGACTGGCCTTGCACTTGCAGTGATCCTCCTGCCTCAGCCTCCAGAGTGCTTATGACACCAGGCCCAGCTATACAGGTGGCTTTTTATTTCAATGGTCTGCATTTTTTGTTTTATATTGCCTTTAAATGTCCCTGTAACACAGCTCCTGACAAACAGAAAATATGTCTCATACCGCTTTCCATTCCATCACACCCCTTAGGGTGGAATAAATGTTCAATACATTTTTACTGAAGGAGAAAGAAAAACCTAGGCAGATGGAGACCTTGAGCAGCCACAGTCCGGGTCATGCACCCGCCCAGCTCCGCCCTGCCCCCCACCATCCCGGTCCGCACCTTTGAGAAGAAACGCTGCCACAGCCGAAGGGCGTGAAGGTCCCCAGGACAGGCTGGCTGGGCAGGTCGCTGAATATGTTGGTGTACGCACCGCCCCAAGGCGGGTCCCATGGGCTCTGACACACAGCAAGGCGGCCGGAAGGGTAGATGGGGTCCAGGTTAAGGGACTGACTTGGTAAAAGCAACAGCGCAACAGTGGTGCTAATGCTTGTATGCTTGTGTAATTCTCTCTGTCTCTGTCTCTCCCTCTCTATCTGTCTCCGTCTCTCTGTCTGTCTCTCCCGACAGGGTTTTGCTGTGCAGCTCAGGCTGGCTTGGGATTCATGACGATCCTCCTGCCTGCGCCTTCTGAGCGCGGGGATTACAGGTGTGCGCCACCACGCCGGGCCAGGCCCACGTTCTTTGAGGGAGTCTGGGCCGACAAGTCCTGGTGAGGGACGGCTGGGGGCCAAAGCTCCTCGCTGCGCCCTAGGGTCCCACAGCAACGCCCTCCCCGCACAGCGCGGCGGGCATGGGCCAAGGAGGACGAGGGTGATTACAAGTCTGGAAGTCATTTCCCAAGCCCTCTCCCCACCGACCTGTTCAGAACCTGTACGATGGGCTCTGGAGGCCTTTCTCATTTGGGGCTGTAGGCCCTGATCACAAAGACCCGCTTCCTCCAAGCTAGTCTCTCTGGGTGCTGGGCTCCCTCCTGGTTCCCTCTGGTAATCAGGAAAATGAACAGAGGAGAACTCATTTTCTCAGAATCATATGAGTTTTCCATTGCTTACCAAAAATAAAACCCGGCCTGGTGGTGCACACCTGTAATCCCCGCATTTGGGAGGCTGAGGCAGGAGGGGCTCTGTGAGTCATAGGCCAGCCTGGGCTCCACAGCAAGACCCTGCCTCCAGACAAACAAACAGACAACAATAACAAAGAAAAACATCAAGGCCAACTAGAGGCTCCCTGAAGGAGGAGGAAGGCGGGACACCCGGAACCACCCCAACCACTCTTTCAGGTTGACTCACTGCCCCCAGCACAGGGAGATAAGACCCCTGGGAGCAGGGGTGGAGAGCTCTGCCCTAGCGCTGCAGGGGTGCCTTTCTGCTGGGGAACCCTAAGGCCCAAACCTCAGCCCCGCCATCGGCCCAGGCCCTCCCGCCTGCGGCGCAGGGTACTAGGTCACGGAGGAGCCGTCAGCCAGGGCGCAGTGGAATTTCCTCCGCAGCGGCCCCGCCTTGGCCTCAGCTTTGGCCTCAGCCTCCAGAGTGGTCAGCAGCTGAGGCCTCCGCTCCAACAGCTCCAGCCAGAGACTCCGGGTGGCCTGCGGACTGGGCCTCTCCTCCTCGCCTTCGGGCTCGCCGTAGTAGCAGAGGATCGGGCCTCTGTTGAGCCCCTCTCTCTTTAGCTGAGCTTTTTCTGTTTTTCTGTTTAAAAGAAAAGATGTCAGGGCTGGGGATTTAGCTCAGTGGCAAAGCGCCTGCCTGGCAAGCGCAAGGTCGTGAGTTCGGTTCCCAGTACCGGAGAAAAACAAAAAAACAAAACAAAACAAGAAAAGATGTCAGGATGTGGCTATGGGGGAGGAGGGCTCAGCACAGCTGTAAACTCAGCACTCCGGAGGCTGAGGCAGGAGGGTCACCACATGGTCACCACTATGGGGTACATAGTGAGTTCAAGGGCAGCCTGAACTAGAAGGGGAGACCCTGTCTCAAAAAACAAACAAGTACACAAACAAACAGCTTATTAATAGGAGATTGGTTCCGAAGAGTCACGGAACATACATGCTTTAGAATTCGAAGCAGCCATTCAAAATCTGGTTTCTGCAAAATGTAATAGCATGGAGAAATGTCTGTGATCAAGTGGGGGGAAAAAGCAGGATGAAAATGGTATTCAAAAGATAGCTCTCATAGGAAGCTGAGGCAGGAGGATCGAGGTGTCTATTCCAGCCTGAACTACAAAGCCAGACCCTGTCTCAAAAAAAGATAGCTTTTATAAAAAAGATATTTTAGATATATATACACACATAAAACGCACAGTACAAAATATATATTCATTAGTATGGGCGGGGTGGATGTGTGTGCACACATAGGTGTGTGTTGTAAAAAGTCACAAGGAAATATGCAAAAACATAAACATGCTATTCTCTCTCTCTCTCTCTCTGGTACCGAGAATCGAACTCAGGACCTTGTGCTTGCCAGGCGGTGCTTGTGCCACTGAGCTATATCCCTGGTCCAAAAATGCTATTCTCTTGGGGAAAAAAGTTATAGGATTTCAA